ATCAACGGAACGTTTTTTGACACCTAATTCGCATCAAAGTTCAATTTTAACCTGACACCTAATTCGCATCAAAGTTCAATTTTACAACACCAAAGTTAATTTTTACAACGTCAAAGTTCATCTTGACAAAGTCAATATTTCCCTATATATACAGCAAGGAGCACTGATGATGATTCATTCGGAATCGAAATATGGCCTTATTTGCAGCATGAATTCGAAAAATAAGTTTATTTTGAATTTTAACAAACTAAACGTTCAACAAAAAACTTTAGTGAGAAAAATCGAAAAAACAAACTACAAACATATTAACGCCAAACATTCGGTAGAATTTATAGAATATTGTAAAAATTATGGTCTATTACCAACATATATATATATATATATATATATATATATATATATATATATATATGTATATATATATATATAAGATTATATAAATATATATATTTATTTATACGTGTGTTGTGTATGCGCGTGGTGCATTTTTATATCCTTTTTTTTATTTTTTATTAAATCATTCAACTAATTCTAGATAACTTTATTACCTGCAATTTGTCGACTTCGTGGTTGTTTCAACCAATCGAGATCTGAAACGAAGTGGATCAATCTTTTGTCAACCAAATAAAAGTTGATGAATTTTAATTATTTTATTTACAAAATGAGAAATATATAAAACTTGTCCCACATGGCGGAGGTTTCACCGTTGGCATACAAGTGTACTTGTCTCCGTTGTAACAACATTTGCTATCTTCATCACGGCACTGAATATCAGATGTACATTCTACACCATCGCCAACAATTGGTAACAAATTTGTTGGAGGTGGGGGACATTTAGAGTCGTCTTCATAATTTTGTGATTTTCTGCTGAGTGTTTTAAGGTCGTCAGATTCATATGGTTCTTCATGAATAGCCTTTTTAAAATGTTTCGATTAAATTAAAAGAATTGAAAACGTTAATCGTAAAATTAATAAAAACTAAGTTTATTTTTTTAATTTTTTATTTAAAAAATAAATTAACGTTTTTAATAGATTTTTTGACTAAAATTTAAATTATTAATACTGAATATTAATTAATGTTTGCTGAACATATTAGCAACAGTTATTTTAAGCACATTAAATTTTAATGTTTTCCCAGGTAGCGACAATTTTAAACAGGTATAAAAAAGCGGCACTTGTATAAAAATAAAAAAATAGCTTCATATTATTAATTAAAAAATGTTGTCTATGTAAAAATGGATGTCGTGATAGCCTAGTGGTCAAGGTCGCCTGGTTTGTTTCGCGGTGCGTGTAGTGACCAGGTTTAATATGACAAAAAGATCACTGCCTATCACGTACTTCGTGTTGAAGCTGTTTATGTGTTGTTGATTTTATTATGTTTATTATGTCTATTATCTGACTAATTTAAATTTTAAAATGAAAAAATATTATTCAGAATTTTTTCACAAGTATGGATGCCATTGCCGTAATAAATAAAGTTTAAATAATAAGCTTTAAATCAGTTTGAAGAAAGTCATGTAGTGTTTCAAGCAAAAAATTGTTTCGGCAACGATATTGTACAAATATTTGTCTTTAGTGACTCTGGGATCAGATCTAACATTTCAGTCCATTGTTCAGCAATATTTATTTACAAGCTGAACCGGTTATTTAACTGATTTTATAGTTTAGAATTGTTGAATTGTTTGTTTTATAGTTTAATTGCTTGTCTAAAATATTGCTATGATAATTACTTTTTTAAAACAGATTTGAAAAGACTCAAAAACTTGTATTTAATAAAAAATTTTACCTTGTCAAACTTGGACTGGGCAGCGAAGTAGTAAATGTGATTTATGTAGCAATTGGATTAATTTATTGTCTCTATTACTGCTGGTATTAAAATAAGCGTTCAACTTCGTTTGCGTTTAAAGTAGCTGCGTTGAACCTATGGATAAATGAACTCTTGACTATCGTTGGAAGCTACAACACGATGCTGGAGATATAGAGATTATTGAAGCTATAACATTGGTGTTGGTAGTTACGAGGTCGAAGATTACAGCAATATTTACACAATGAGCATACGAGGTCATTGGTTTTAACCTAAAACATATTAATTTTAATGCCAAATTTTGATTGAGTTTCTCAGGCAGCTACAAATTTAAACAAATTGTAGTGAACCAGATAAAAGAAATTTCGACATTGAATTTTAGATTGTTTTGAAAGAGAAAAAAATTATTGCCAACCAACCCCTGGGAAATGTGCAAGATAAATTACGTGTCATTGTTCACAAAGTAATTATGGATCAAGTGATTAATAGTTTAAAACAGAGATTCTCTGAGCATAGTAGTCATTACGCTGATTTATCTGTTTTAGATTCAATAAATTTTGCAGAAACTTCAAAAAGAATGCCCACTGACGCAATGCAACACTTGCATGAGTTTCTCAAAAAAATTGATGATACTGTTATAAAAGAATAGATTCAAACACAATTATTGGATTTTGCAAGAAAAGAGGAAAATTTTGAATCAACTCTCGAAAATAGGTGTAATTTGATCATTGAAATTGGAGGGGAAAACAGTGAACAATTTTAATCAGTAGAATTATTAATACTTGAAAATATGTATACTATCCCATCAGTTGAAAACACCAACAACCCCAAATATGAATTCAAATCATTTATAAAATGTATTGTTTGTTGTTATTTTGTTTTCCAAACGTGTTATTTGCATTGCTTTACATATTCAAATCTGTATTTTGCTTACAGATTTGTTTTGACATTATCCTCATTACAAGTTTCTTATGAGTAATCGTTTACTTAATTGACAAAATTTTGAACAAATTTATGATTTTGCCAATGCTGTCAACTTTACAATGATTTATGCCGATGTCTTCCAAGAATCTACAACAATCCGTGATGTTTTACCATCAATTAGTTAAACGATGAGAAAGCTGTTACACTGTTTACAAGAAATACAAATTTATACTATTTAATACTTTATGTTTATGTTGTTAGAAAGAAATTCAACTGTCTAAAGTTGTTTTCTATAATTACATATTTTAATGGGTACTTGATTAAAATGATTCATATACGACTTCATGCGGTAATTTTGAAAACTAAAATTTTTTTATAATGCATGAAATGAATACAGAAACAAAAACATATACAGAAAATGAATTGAATTGAAAATAGTAATGATGTGGGCCGACGTGATCAAATTTCCGAGTCGGATTTTTAAGCCAGTTCGATCCTGTACCATGTTAAAATACAGAGATCAATAGTAAAGTTAATGAAAACCGATAGCGCTTGTTTACACACTTGTAAAACACTGATAAAATAAATAACTTGTACTCTTTTTAAAGACTTTTTATCAGAGAAAGCCCATGTTGTTAAAATTAAAGTTAACTCTAGGCTAGCATGCAAATAGGTTTGGCAGAGATAAATAAATAAAATTATATTTCAATTTAATAGTTTTCATTCCTTTAGTTAATTCTATTAGTTAAAAAAAATAATAAAAAATGTAAAAAGTAAAACGAAGAAATTACTTAATTATGAATGAAAAAAAATGTAAAGAGAGCAATTAATTATCATTTCACTTTGAAAATAAAAACGTCGAGGTTCCTAAAAAACATGGTTGGTTCAAATGTATAAAAAATATTCATGAGAAAATGAATTTTGAATTTTCATAATTTTCAATGCGGGGTGGATAAAAATATTTTTTCAAGGAATCACCCAATAAATTTTGCTGTATTGATATCGTTCTCACAATTTATTTTTCAGTTATAATTATGTTTACAAAATTATATAAATCAAATATAAATAACGCCACTAAATTATATAATCATATCAGTTAATGTTTTCAAGTCACAATTTAAAAAATTTTCATGACCAAAGTATTAACCCAAATGTATCATCTTTAGTATGATTGTTAAACTACAAAATTTGTATGAAAAGATTTCATGGAGACGGGAAAAAATTTTCCGGACAAAAATCTTCCTGACAAATACTCTCCGGACAAAAACCCTCATGCGAAAAATCCTCCAGGAAAAAAACCCAGCTAGTGAAGTAAAAGTTATCAGTGTGGAATCTATGGTGGATTACATTAACGACTCATTTTAGTTGGTAACAGCAGTGTTTTGATTAAAAATCAGTTTTAGACAGGAAAATACCATTTTTAAGTAAAAAAAATTTACCATAATTTTGACGCGATAAGCCTAATTTTGTCCACATAAGCAATCATTCATTTATTATTGGCACCCCTTGTCAAATTTAAAAAATTTTTCAATATTTTTGAAATTTTGCCCCTCTAAAAAGCATTTTTTTAAATTTTCATGAAGCGGCATTTTCTGTATATTTTAAAATTGTTTTATTAGTAATTTTCAGCAGTTATAAATTATAAATTTAAGACGTATATTTTCCCAATAAGATTAACATTTAAGATTAATAATCTAATGAAGGTAAATAATAGATTTACTCAATCATGAGTTTTCTGAGTTTCTCTACAATATTAACGTCATATAAATTTAAAGGATGGCAAGTTATTAAACAACATTATGCAACAAGTACGGAGTTATTCAAATTTTCTATATAAACAGCAACAAGTGCTGAAAATGATTGAAAAATCAAAATAGGTCCTATACACCCGAGAATAAATTGGAGAACTGTATATTATAATAGCGTTAATAAAATAAATAATGACGACAAGAATTTGGTTCGAAATATTAAGATATGTCATAAAAAACTATCCAACGTTAGAAATTCGGTAGATTTCATAAATTACTGCATTAATTATGGTTTTTCACCTGCACTATATATATACATATATATATATATAGTCATTTTTAAATTTCCAAGAGTCATTTTTATAAGTTTAAATTCACGTATGTATATATATATATATATATATATATATATATATATATATATATATATATATATATATATATATATATATATACAATATTCTATAAATTCTACCGAATGTTTGGCTTTAATATGTTTGTAGTTCGTTTTTTCAATTTTTCTCACTAAAGTTTTTTGGTGACAAAAAACTTTTTATTATTATTATTATTATTATTATTATTATTCAAAACAGCACGAGCAGAACCCCTTGCCAAACAAAAACATAGAAATTCGAAAATATAAACCATAAATAACCATAACCTCTCGTACGATCGTCGGACGAAAATAGTAGCGTTGAACTAGCCTTGACAGAAACCTCGCCACGTAACATTCTGAATAGCAAAATAAGATCCGCTCTGCGACGACGGTACGCGAGTGAAAGCAGCTTAAGGGTCTTTAATCTGTTATTATAAGGAAGAGACCTACAGGAATTAACCAAACGTGTTGCTCTTTTTTGAATTTTTTCAATTTCTAAAATTAAACCAATTTTGTAAGATTTCCATGCTTGAACACCATATTTCAACTGAGACCTCACCAACGACTTATACAACAAGATAAAAGCTTCATCTGATAAATTCTTGAAGTTTCTAGCAACAATCCCCAACATGAAGTTAGCTTTATGAACAATTTTCAAGATTTGGCTTTTGAACCTAAACTTGGCATCAAAGATCACTCCGAGGTCTGATATCTCATCAACCTCTGGCAAACGAAAGAGCAGTCCGTTGCAGTCTACAATAGTGAATGGTGTACCTGAATTGTTGCAACCAAACCTTAACATTTGGCATTTTTTGACACTTATATTTAACTTCTATTTACTAAACCAATCAACCATTTTTATAATATCCTGAGAAAAGATGATTTTATCTTCGTCACTTTTTATTACCTTGAAAATTTTTGAGTCGTCTGCAAATAGCAGAACATTGTTACAAACAGAGGATAAATCGTTTATATAAACTAGAAACAATAGCGGACTCAGAACCCCACTTTGGGGAACCCCATTTAAAACTGGTCTCTGATCCGATAAAGTACCATCAAGCTTTACTTGAAACGACCTACCACTGATATAGTTCTGAATCCAATTTAGTAGCTTGTTGTTAATACCGTACTGTTTGAGCTTGAATATTAACCGCTGTGTGAAATCTTGTCAAACGCTTTTTCAAGATCCATATAAACCACATCAACCTCATAACCATGATCCAATCTTTCAGTAATAATCTCCAAAAACCCCAAAAGTTGCAAGACTGCTGAACGACCTGGTATAAATCCAAACTGGCCATTGGAAAATAAATCATTCTTCATGAAATAATTCATAATGTGATCTTTTATCATAGATTCCAGAATCTTGCAACAAATTGAAGTTAATGTGATCGGACGATAATTTTGAGCCAGATCCTTACGGCCTTTTTTATGAAGAGGAACGACATGACTAAGCTTCCAATCCTGCAGCAAGCACAATGCCTTCATCAACTGAACGATAGAATAATCTACTTAAATGGGAGCAGATTGACTTCCTTAATTCCCATAGAACTCGTGAGTGTATATCATCCGGACCTGCTGATTTGCCTGTATTTAGCTTTTCAAGTTTTGATAATACCATGCTTTCGTCAATAAGCAAATCAGCCATTGGGGATAATACATCAGTGGAGTCAAAATAAAAAAAAGTATCATTATCATCAAAAAAAGTATCCTCTCTGTACACAGAGTAGAAGAAGTTAGCAAATACATCAGCTTTCATCTTAGAATCAGTTATCACCCTTCCATCCTCAGTCAATGGACTAGCAACCTCATCACATCTGGTTACTTTTTTCACGTGATTCCAAAACAGTTTAAGATTGGTTTTATATGCACGAGCAATTTTTTTTTGCGACTGCAATTTCATCAACTTTGTATGTTTTTTATTTTTGTCTCTGATTGTTCGGAATTCTTGAATTTTATCTTCTCCATATCTATAAATCAACCTCCAAATTACATGCTTTTGCTTTATCAAAACTTTCAAATCATTGGTCATTTTAAATTTGAAATCAACGAGAAAAATTGAAAAAACGAACTACAAACATATTAACGCCAAACATTCGTTAGAATTTATAGAATATTGTAAAAATTATGGTCTATTAATAACATATATATATATATATATATATATATATATATATATATATATATATATTATATATATATATATATATTGGTACGAGGTTCTCAGCGATAAAACTTCATTAAATATTTTTGCCCATTTTGCGTTGATTAGTTTTTACCAAAAGATTCAACATTTCGTATTTCGGTTAAATCATATTTATTAAAGAGTTATGTCATAGTGCGGCTTACAACGTTGTTTCGGCGTGAGCGCCATCTTCAGAGCCTTAAGTAATATATTTTTATAAATTAGAGTATGTTGAATAATTATAAAATGTATTAATATATGAAATTGAAATAGAATAAATTACGTTGAAATGTGAGATAAGAAAATAAATGAGAATGAATAAAATATGATAAGTTAATTAAAATATATAAAATTTAATAAATTTGTTCTGTTGTGAAGGTTTATATTTATTAATATAAAGCGCTTCTTTAATCTTAAGGCGATGTGGTCCATAGTCGAGAATACTTGGGTTTTTATCAAGTATAGTACGATTGAGCCGAAGCCGAGGATGCCTGAAGGATAAAAATCTTACAACATGCAGTAATTGCTTCACCCTCTGCAAAATATACAGGATAATGATAGGGCATGTTTATTGAACCCTCTAGCCAGCAAAAACTGTCAAAACATCTTAACAGTACAGCATTTATTCTCATGCCAAAATTCCAAAGAAATCAGAACTAAACACTTTCTCTGACAACTTTTATCCAGATATCTCTGACAACTTTACATCCACAATAAGCATAGTCTCAGTTATAAACTTTTTTAAAGATTTACAATAATATGGCGATGATAATTTTATGACTCCAAGCAACAATCGTAAATTCGAAATGTCCCTCTGTCACACCATAGCACCAAAAAGGGTGCAAAAATGCCGTTAAAACCTGATACAACAACAAATTTTTTAACATATATCAAGTAAAGCAAAATTTTAATCTCATAATTTCTTACTTGAAATTCGCCTTTTGAGATGTCGTCATCTTTGCTTTCAAAATCGACAAGCCATTTGTCTGTTTCATCAGCATAAGCATATGTTCCGTCAACAATATAATGATTATTTTTGTTAAGATTTTTTGATGATTGATAGCCTGGTAAATATGTGGTACGTAATTCATCATAATTTTCAGAAAGTTTTGCTGTTTTATAAGTTTTTTCTAGCAAACTTTTTGATGATTTTGTTGATGGTTTTATAATTTTTCCTATTAGGGGTGTGTGTTTTT